TTGATTGTCATGATGCAATGCTCTGAAATCCTGGGAGTTGAAGTTTCACAAGTCCATTCACCATTGACACCGTGTTGATTGTCATGATGCAATGCTCTGAAATCCTGGGAGTTGAAGTTTCACAAGTCCATTCACCATTGACACCGTGTTGATTGTCATGATGCAATGCTCTGAAATCCTGGGAGTTGAAGTTTCACAAGTCCATTCACCATTGACACCGTGTTGATTGTCACGATGCAATGCTATGGAATCCTGGGAATTGTAGTTTCACAAGTCCATTCACCATTGACACCATGTTGATTGTCACGATGCAGTGCTATGGAATCCTGGGAGTTGTAGTTTCACAAGTCCATTCACCATTGACACCATGTTGATTGTCACGATGCAGTGCTATGGAATCCTGGGAGTTGTAGTTTCACAAGTCCATTCACCATTGACACCATGTTGATTGTCATGCTGCAATGCTATGGAATCCTGGGAGTTCAAGTTTCACAAGTCCATTCACCATTGACACCATGTTGATTGTCATGCTGCAATGCTATGGAATCCTGGGAGTTCAAGTTTCACAAGTCCATTCACCATTGACACCATGTTCATTGTCATGATGCAATGCTATGGAATCCTGGGAGTTGTAGTTTCACAAGTCCATTCACCTTCTCTGCCAATGAGTGCTGGCCAAAATCCGGAAGTCTTGCACTCTTCTGCGTGTGCGTGTTTGCATATGTGTGGAATTGTGCAAAACATCCTCCCCACCGCCCTAATTTGAACCAAATGTGCCCCATTAATCTCCCCAGCTTTCCCAGTCCTATAAACAAAGGGATCCAGTCCAGGCGGAGTTTAATAATACTTTTGGTAATTACTCTTTTATGGTTATTATTATTATTATTATTATTACGCTTGGCTTTCCCCCCGGCGCGCTCTGGGCTTGCTCTCCGGCACGGGCAGTAAAAATTTTGAAAACCTTGGAAATTAAAAAAGGGAGAGAAAGAGGGAAGAGGAATGGCAACCACGCACGTCCCTTTTGCATCTGGTGCTTTACTATGCCCAGTTTGAAAAAAAAGTGTTTCGTTATGCGGAGGCAGGAATTTGGAATCGGCGAAAGTTGTGTTTGCACCATCTGGATCGAATTGGGAGTTGGTTCTGGATGGAGAGAGATAGACACCCCCCGCCCCCCTCCATTGTACTCCATGGTTCCTAGAATCCGTCCCCTTTTGCTCCTGGCCGTAACTTGCTAAATAATACACATTATATATCCATTGCTCGGCAGCAAAACATGCGCTTCCCAGTTTGCAGCATTGGTATCTTGCAAAACCTCCCATTGGGGAGATGGCTTAAGTGTTGTTTGTCTCACTTTGAAACTGGCTTGGAAGTGGGTTTCCATTGGAGAAGGCAGTGCTGGTGGTCCATCTGCTTTGGGTTTTAGTCTGAACTTTTAGAGATGCGTCCTGGCCATGCAATCCGGGGAATGGTCAAGGAGCTCTCCATGGTGCTGGGCCCTGCTTCTCTGAAAAGAGAATGAATGCACTGCTGAAATAATGCTATTTGAGCTCAATGTGATGGAATCCCGGGAGTTGTAGTTTGACAAGGTCTTTAGGCTTTCTATAAGTGGCAGGGGATTGGACTGGATGGCCCATGAGGTCTTTTCCAACTCAATGCTGTGATGGAATCCCAGGAGTTGTAGTTTGACAAGGTCTTTAGCCTTTCTATAAGTGGCAGGGGATGGGACCGGATGGCCCATAGGGTCTCTTCCAACTCAATGCTGTGATGGAATCCCAGGAGTTGTAGTTTGGCAAGGTCTTTAGTCTTTCTATAAGTGGCAGGGGATTGGACCGGATGGCCCATGAGGTCTCTTCCAACTATGATTCTATGAAAAGAAAATGTGCATCTACTCTGTAGAATTAATGCTGTCTGATGCCATTTGAACTGACATGGCTCACTGCAATGGAATTCTGGGAGTTGTAGTTTGCAATGCAATAGTGTCTAGGAAGTTGTAGTTTGACAAGGTCTTTAGCTATTCTATAAGTACAGAAAAGAAAGTGTGCATCTACTGTTTAGAATTAATGCTGTCTGACGCCATTTGAACTCCCATGGCTCAAGGTGATGGGAGTTGTAGTTTGCAATGCAATGGTATCCTGGGAGTTGTAGTTTGACAAGGTCTTTAACCTTTTTATAACTACAGAAAAGAAAGTGTGCACCTACTCTGTAGAATTAATGCTGTCTGATGCCATTTGAACTGCTATGGCGCAGTGCAATGGAATCCTGGGAGTTGCAGTTTGCAATGCAATAGTGCCTAGGGAGTTGTAGTTTGACAAGGTCTTTAGTGATTCTATAAGTACAGAAAAGAAAGTGTGCATCTACTCCTTAGAATTAATGCTGTCTGACGCCATTTGATGAACTGCTATGGCGCAGTGCAATGGAATCCTGGGAGTTGTAGTTTGCAATGCAGTGGTGTCTAGGGAGTTGTAGTTTGACAAGGTCTTTAGCTATTCTATAAGTACACAAAAGAAAGTGTGCATCTACTGTTTAGAATTAATGCTGTCTGATGACATATAAACTGATCTGGCTCAGTGCAATGGAATCCTGGGAGTTGTAGTTTGCAATGCAGTGGTGTCTAGGGAATTGTAGTTTGACAAGGTCTTTAACCTTTCTGTAACTACAGAAAAGAAAGTGTTTACCTATTTTGTAGAATTCATGCCATCTGGCACCATTTGACCTGTCATGGCGTAGTGTGATGGAATCCTGGGAGTTGTAGTTTGACAAGGTCTTCAGCCTTTCTATAACAGCAGAAAAGAAAGACTGCATCTATTCTGTAGAATTAATGCTGTTTGACTCCCTTTGAACTGTCATGGCTCAATGTGATGGTATCCTGGGAGGCATAGTTTGCATTGCAATGACATCCTGAGAGTTATAGTTTGACAAGGTTTTCAGCCTTTCTATGACTACAGAAAAGAATGTGTGCATCTATTCCGTAGAATTAATGCTGTTTGACACAATTTGAAGTGCCCTGGCTTAGTGCAATGGAATCCTGGGAGTTGTAGTTTGACAAGGTCTTTAGTCATTCTGTAACAACAGAAAAGAATGTATGCATCTACTCTGAAGAATTAATGCTGCTTGACTCCCTTTGAACTGCCATGGCTCAGTATGATGGTATCTTGGGATCTGTAGTTCGACAAGATCATTAGCCTTGGTCTGTAATGAAAAGAAAGAGTAGAATTAATGCAATTTGACGCCATTTGAACTTCCATGATTCAATGCGATGGTGTCCTGGGAGAAAGTCTTTGGCCTTTCTATAACTACAGAAAAGAAAGCGTGCAGCTGTCCAATGTGGAAATGCGCCACCAATAACTGCGTACCAATTCAGGCCAAACCAGGTTGGACAACAATAGACGCACAGTATATTTTTACGCCAGGAAGTTTCCATTTGCTGCTTCTTCATGGCTCCTTTCCATTTTACCTAAAATAGGAACAAGAAAATTACACCTGTGTTTAGCTAATTGTAATGTGTGCAGGAAAGGGTGGAGGACGGTGGTCGAAATGCACCAGAATAGCTCGGAACCGGATGGCTTTTCTGGTGTTGGTGGCATTTGCATCTCCAACCCAAAGCCAGAAAAATAATCTTTCAAAAGGGTTGTGGTAGGTTTTTTCGGGCTATATGGCCATGTTCTAGAGGCATTCTCTCCTGACGTTTTGCCTGCATCTCTGACAAGCATCCTCAAAGGTAGTGAGGTCTGTTGGAACTAGGAAAATGGGTTTATATATCTGTGGAAAGACCAGGGTGGGACAAAGGACTCTTGTCTGCTGGAGCTAGGTGTAAATGTTTCAACTGACCACCTTGATTAGCATTTGATGGCCTGGCAGTGCCTGGAGCAATCTTTTGATGATGGTGATTAGATGTCCCTGATTGTTTCCTCTCTATTGTTGTGCTGTTGTAATTTTAGAGTTTTTTTTAATACTGGTAGCCAGTATTAATGAGAAACCCTGATAAGAACTGGACAGTGATAAGATAAATGTTTACAGTGTTAAGAAGGAAGTCAACATAAGATCAACAGCCATCAAGAAGATCAACACCTGGCCAGGAAACTGAGATGGATACAGGATGGAAGATATTGTTGTTCATTCGTTCAGTCGTCTCCGACCCTTCGTGACCTCATGGACCAGCCCACGCCAGAGCTCCCTGTCGGCTGTCACCACCCCCAGCTCCTTCAAGGTCAGTCCAGTCACTTCAAGGATGCCATCCTTTTGATGGAAGACGTCTATCATTAATTTACAACTTTGGGACTACATCAAGAGAATATTCCTATAAAAGACTCGGTCTAATAATGCTCAAAGTGTGGCAGACCTGAGGAGTCTGGTTCACCCGCTATGCTCTGCTCCATGGGAAGGAGAGAGATGGTATATTTGGAGAGTGCCAGATTTGCATGGGAGCAGCCTGGTCCCTTTGGGGCTTCTTCTCAAGGGAAGAGGAAGAAGTGTGCTTTTGGAGTCTGGGATTTTGTGCAGGGAGTCAGGTTCTGCTGTATGGAAAACAGAGATCTGGTCCTTGGCATTGTTCTTAGGGAAAGAAGTTTTGGCAGTTTGGTATTTCGAAGTTTTGGTGTTATGTCATTCTTTGTCTAAATGTTTTCTGTAATCTGATATACCTTCTCATGCTGGAAATTACAATAAAAAGAACTTAAGCTTTAAAATCATTCAAAAGTCATTCATGACATCTCCTTCTCTGGAGCATTTCAAGCAGAAGTTGGAAGGCCATGGGTTGGGAGGGCTTGTGTTATGGCAGGAGGGGGTGGACTAGATGGCCTTTGGGGTTCCCTTCCAACTGTAGAGGAATGTAGGCTGCCTAGGAGTCCAGTAGAGTTTCCTTCTCTGGTGGTTTTCAAACAGAAGTTGGATGGCCATTTGTTGGGAGGGCTTGGGTTATGGCAGAAGGGGGTTGGACTGGATGGTCTTTGGGGATCCCTTGCCGTTCTGTGATTTGAGGCCTCTCTTCCTCTCCTTCCCAGTCTCCAGGCCCCAGAGCTCTCCCGAAGACCTCAAAGTCCTGATGGGGAACGTCAACCAGCTGAACCAAACTTTCCGGGAGCTCCAGCTGAGGATACTGCAGCAGCCCTTGAAGGTGGACTTCATGGACCACGTCTGGCGCCTGCAGGACCTGCTCCAGAACCACTCTGATTCCCTCCTGAGCATGAGTGGCTCCCTCCAGAAGTTGGGTGGGGAGCTGGGGAGCTTGCGGGCCCAGGCGGCCCAGGCGGACAAGGCCATCTCTGGCCTGCGGGACAGCCTGACACAGCAGGGGGACCTGGCCCAGGCGGAGGCCTACCGGCTCTCGGTGGAAGGCAACAGCAGCCGCCTCCTCCTGCGCCACCACCAGCTCCTCCTGGCCGAGATGGCCTCCCGCATGGAAGGCCTGCGTGACCAGCTGACCGACTTGGGCAGTGAAGTGGGTGGCCTGAACCGGACCCTGTCCTATGACGTGGGCATCCACCACACCCGCATCCAGGATCTGCAGGTGAGCCATTGGTAGGGGTCTCATGACTGGATCGAGGGATCGAGGAGTCTCTCTCTCTCTCTCTCTCTCTCTCTCTATATATATATATACATATATATAGAGAGAGAGAGAGTTGTAGTCTGAGGATGATGGTCCTCCAAGATGATGGTCTTCTTGGCAGTGGGTCGGTAGGTGGCTGTGGAGCCATATTCTGTATCCACATGTTGTCTCGCAGTGAGGACATCGATTTCCAAGTGGAAGGCAGTCCTGGTCAGGGTTGGCTTGATGTGCCTTTTCCCTTTCTCCCTCCATTCGTGCTTCTTTGAATTCCGCAGCACTGCTGGTCACAGCAGACCTCCACTGAGAGCGCTCAAGAGCCAGGGCTCCCCAGTACTTGGTGTCTATGTCACTGTTTTTAAGTCTGGCTTTAAACCCATATTTAAATCTTTTTTCCTGTCCACCAATGTTACGTTTCCCATTCTTGAGTTCAGAGTATAGTAACTGCTTTGGGAGATGGTGATCGGGCATTCGGACAACGTGGCCTTCAGTCCAGTGGAGTTGGTGGCAGAGGACCATCGCTTCAATGCTGGTGGTCTTTGCTTCCTCTTCCAGCATTCTGACATTTGTCCTCCTGTCTTCCCAAGAGATTTGCAGGATTTTTCAGAGGCAACGCTGATGGAATCGTTCCAGGAGTTGTGTGTGACGTCTGTAGACAGTCCATGTTTCAAACAGTCCATGTTGGGAGGACAATAGCTTTATAAACAATTTCCCCATGTAATCTCTCTGAACGATGCAATCTAAACAAAGACTTCTGTTGATCTCTGTAGCTACAGGTGGTTTCTCTTGGGAACCTTCCTTTTCACTCAGCTCTTCACTCGATTCCTTATCTGCTGTTGCTGCTTCTAACTCCTCAGACTGGCCTTGAAGCTCTGCACTTTCCAAGCCAGTTTTCACACTTTTCAAGCCAGTTTTCCCATACTTGAACTCCCATCACTTTGTGCTTCAGGAAAGCCCACAAGGAAACATCATTTCCCATACTTGAATTCCCATCACTTTGTGCCATAGGAAAGTCCACAATCCTCTCTAAATCATCAGTCAAACTATCAGCCTCTGGCTGATTGACAACGGTTTCCTCCATCTTCTTTCTTTATTTTTTTGAGAGAAAGGGATCTAGGAGTCTTTCAGTTATTCAAAGAACTACATGGGAGAGGTAACATAGGGTCTAGTTATTTCACTAATAACTAACTCACAGCAGACATCTTGCCTCTCTCCATGCTCACAGGAGAAGAACAAAATGGAGGGACTCAGGGACTTGCCATGTGCTCAGAAAAAGAGACATGTCCCTGAGAAGTAGCAATAAAGCCAAGAAAGGGCTTTTCCCTGCCAACTGAGTCATTTGTCTATCTAGGTCTTTGATGAGGACTACAAGCTTGTGCAGGATGTGGTTGAGTTCCAACAATAGGACAGACTTGTAAACACTCAATGTCAAAGGGATCTAGGAGTCACTGTCATCACAGAGACTTTATTATGTTATCTAATTAATCTTCCCTTAATGAGAAAGGGTTCCATTTTTATTGTATAGTTTTTGGGAGGGAACCATAGATAGCCCTTTTCCTTAAAGCCCCCTTCCAGAGGCAGAGCTTCCCAGAAGCCAGCCATTTGGAAGAAGGTGCAGAGAGGAGCTAGGAAGCGGAACATATCGCAAGTTTAGAAGTTGGTGCTTGTGACGGCGCGAGTGGCGCCACCTATGTATAGAACTGTTAGTTGTAAGATTTAAACTGTTGTATCATGNATTATATGTATTAATATCCTGGCTATAATAATAATTATTATTATATGCATATTATTATTATTATTATTATTATTATTATTATTACAAGGTGTGACGGCGCGAGTGGCGCCACCTATGTATAGAACTGTTAGTTGTAAGATTTAAACTGTTGTATCATGCTTAATCCTGCCCCTTTTGCCATGTTTCTGTATATTTGTATGGATTGGTTACTTGTAGCTGTCAATCAGCACTGTTTTGGCTCCACCTCTTCCTGCAAGAGGGGAGAACTTCCTTTTCTTTTCATTCTGCCATGAGAGTTCCTGCAACATGGACGTGAGTAAGAGACTTCATTCTAAAGGACCCTTGCAAGTTACCTCTTAGCACCAATTCTGAGGTTTTTTACCCCTGGGACTCATGCTTTATGTCCAGATCATCCTGGACGGATACTGAGGAGACCCAGGCGCCTTCAAGCCAGTTCTTTTGGCACCAGAGGAAGATCCTGAATCTTCAAAATAGGCCATTTGAATTGGGGTTGTGGTTTTGCTCCGGCACTCACAACCATTGAGGAAGAGGAAACCTGGTGAGGCTTCTCAGCTTCAAACCCCTTGGACCCAGGACTAATAGAGACTGTAAAGTGTGTTTTTCCTTCACCCTTCTAAAGTTTTCCAGTTTATTGCATTGAAGAAATGACTTTGTGACAAATAAAACTTATTTTGAGTTATTTACATCGTTTTGGGTTCTTGGGAGTTCAAGTTTCCTAAAGGAGGGCAAGAAGCAATCCCCTGGGGAAAAGATGCCACGTCCATCCTCCTTTTAAGACTAATAGCCCCCAAGCGCGACGGCACACAAGGGTATAAATACATAATAATAATAATAATAATAATAATAATAATAATAAGCAGGATATAAATACTACTAATCATATTGAGGGAGATATAAATATTGTAATAATAAATGCTAAATCTGGGATAGAAGACATATGGGAGACAATAACATTATATAAATGCATATATTGCTATTAATAATAAGGATATAAATTCATCATAATAATAAGCAGGGTATAAATGCATATAATAATAATTATTATTATAACAAGGATAGAAATACATATAATAATACTAAGCAGTGTATAAATGCATATTATTATTATTATTATTATTATTATTATTATTATTACAAGGATAGAAATACATAATAATAATAATGATAATAATAATAACAAAAATAAGCAGGGTATAAATGCATATAATATATATGTCCAGGTCCTGAATCGGTGCTTGGCCGCTGTGTCGGACTGGATGAGGGTGAACAAATTGAAACTCAATCC